TGCAGGAAGTGGCAGAAGTGTTAATTTGAGCTTGGTTTTGCAGATTAAACATTTGCACGCACAAACTAAAGGTCAGTCCTTTTCAGTTTCAGAACAAGGGTTGTTACAAATATGACTTAAGTTGAGTTCAATAAAGGATTGCACAATGACGTAATGGAGGGTGCAGACAATGCAGGTCTTGTGACTCGTCCTTAACGATGCCCGTGAAAAGTTTCTAAAGCCTGGAGGTCTAACTGACCGTACTAGACGACTCTCCTCTCCTCTCCTCTGGATTGCTTTCTGATAATGTAATATGGAGGTTTTAGTTGTGAGCAGTCGAGCGTTAATATGCTGATGCTTTATAATACAGTGTGTGGGAGGGAGTGTACAGTGTGTGTGATTTGATGGGAAAGTAGGGGCAAGAATAGGTGGTCAGAAAAAGGAAAAATTTGCCAGTTAGCTGAATCTAACAAAGCCTGAATCTAAAAATGAGATTCCTGCTTAAAACAAGAATAAATAGCAAACCGTAATTTAAGATGAATTTTCTTAAAACAAGTAAATTCATCACCATTTAACGGCATTTTCACACCTGAAAGTCTGCACCAAGGTCCGAACCAAAGTTTTGATACATTTCATACTTTCAGAAAGTTTTGGTTTGGTTTCACACTGCAATTAAAGCTGCAAGCAGCAATGAAAAGGGCCCACACACCCATGCTATTACCACCCGGTGGATTTAGGAAGACGCACGGTGGGCAATGTGCTTTTAATTAGGTAAATATATGTGTAATATGTAGTATATGACACTTATTAAACATGTTTAATTTGGAGCACATTGGAAATTGCATGCTTAAGTTACAACAACTTCCTCTTGCATGTATAGTATGTGTTAGCACTTAGCTAAGTGTTTGTTAGCATTGTAGTATGTTGTTAGCATGTTTAGCATTTGGTGGCACTTTTTATGTTTATTAGGAGTCCATAACAGTGTTAAACATGTCCTTTCCTGTTGACCGTAGGTGGCGCTATTGCTGTAACTAAATATTTTAATGTACTGTAGATGTGTTCAGGTCATGACTCTTATCAAACGTTTGAAGTTTGGGGCAGATTTGACATTCCATGACTGTGTTAAAGCAAATCTTATTCCTATTTAATTGCAGTAATAGCATGCTTTAGCAGTTAGCTAAGTGTTTGCTAGCTTGTTTTACAATGTTTCAAGTATGTTGTTAGCATGTTTAGCACTTGCTTGCACTTTTTTTTATCTTATTAGGAGTCCACAACATTGTTACGCTTGTCACTTCCTGTTGTCAGTAGGTAGTGCTATGACTGTAACTGAATATGAGCATGGACATGTGTTCAGGACAGAACTGTTATCAAACTTGTGAAGTTTTGGGAAGATTGGACATTGTTTGCCTGAGTTACAGCAACTTCCTGTTTCATAGCAAAACATCGAAATTTGTCATGCCGCCGAGGACACGCCCTTTGGTGAAAACTCAAGATCTTCGCAATTTAACGTTGCAAAGGCTTTAAGATTACACTCACCAAATTTGAAGATGATTGGATTAAAACTTAAGGAGGTGTTCATTAAAGTATGAGGCCTGAAAATGGCAAAAACTGCACAAAGATCAGAGAGGAAGATCAAAATGGCTGACTTCCTTTTGTTTTTAGGGGTACGCTCCAAGAGACTTTTTTTGTAGGTATTGGGTCATTACATGCATGTACCGAATTTCGTACACGTACGTGAAACGTAGCGGGAGGCGCACTCCGTTGAACTTTTATAGGTGGCGCTATCGAGCCATTTTGCCCCGCCCAATTCTGAAACACATATCAGATGTAAATTTTCGCCAGTTCTGACGTGTGTGCAAATTTTCGTGCATGTTTAGGCTCTCAAAAATGCTATTTATTTTGGAGAAGAAGAAGAATAATAAGAAACAGAGCAATTCCAAGAGGGTCCTCTCACCATCGGTGCTCGGGCCATAATAATGCGAGCGCACTATAGAACTTTACGTGAAATATTTACGTCCTGTCGTCATCATCTATGTGGGCTGCATCTTGATATTGCTTGGTTCAGTAAATGGACGTGCTTCTGACGTCTGCGCTTTGTCAATTCGCCAGGTAACTTTGACAACATGAACGAACAGACGCATATCGTTGCAACTATATTGCTATTTTTATGGCATAATTACCTGCTGCACCAACTATACACAAGGCTAGTTCAAATATGCCAAATAAATCGTGTGAACATTTGATCGTCGCCGGCAGGAAATTAGGAGCAGACTGCAAGTTGACTTCTCATAACGTCATCAGACCATACTGCAATTAAAAGCCTTGTGTCCTCATCTCCCCATGTGCAAAATGGCTCATTTCTCCTGCCACCTTCTGTTTTTTCGGCTTTTTGGGAACCACCAGAACTTCCTGTAAAAGGTCTGAAAGTCCGAACCATACAGAAATGCTTTCACACTATAATTGAACCAAACATTTGCTCAGTTTGATCCGGACCGAGACTGCCTCTTTTCGTCTGACCAAATTTCATCTGTTTGGTTCGGACCGTGGTCCGGGGGAGGTTTCACACCTAAAATTTTGATTCGGACCAAACTGAAAAGTCTGAAAGTCCGGACCAAACAAGGTAGTTGTGAAAGGGCCCTAAGCCTATTTAGATACTAAAAAAAAATATATATATATTATTATTATATACGTATAAGCGTGTATATTTTTGATAAGAACAGACAAATATGTGTACCTTTATATAGAAGGAAACCATTGCATATATTTGATTTGTGCGCAGACTTTTTAATTAAAGCAAAAGAGATTGAAAGAGGGACCTGACACCATCACTACCTCTTATTAGTCTAATACACGTTTAAACTGCTGATGGAGAGATGCAGTAGACTCTCTCAGATGCTGGCCAACTCTCCATTTCACAGCTCTTCTCTCTCTCTTTCTCTGTTGCCAGCGCTCCCTGCCTTTCCTTTTCTTTTCCTCCTCATTTAAATACATTTACATTCTCACTGTTGTCCTTCTTTGTCTTATTTTTTTCTCCTTCTCTCTCTCAATTACGCTTGTACAGAAACAGAACTAGAGAGAAGACTGTTGAAATAAGGAAGATTTCAGTAGTTTAGTAGTTTAGCGTGCAGCACTCTGCAGCATCTCTTTCTGTGGTTTCTGCCGTGAAGGGTTTGCACAAACGCTCGCGTTTCATTTCTCAGAACAACCGCTCTTGCACATGCTCACTTCAGTGCTCGAGTGGTTGCCATGGATACCACTTTATGTCTCCCAGCATGCATTGTACTGCTAGCCGTGTTAGCCCTGAGCTAACTGTGTGTTGGTGATTTCAATGAGCTCTGAATAAGCATGAGTGTGTGTTTGTGTGTAAAGACTTGGTCGGGATGTGAGCTTTTGTCCCTATGAGGTCTATGTTTGCTCTTTTTGCGCCACAAAATAACTGATGTACTTTGAACAGTTTACATGCAGTATACAGACAGATTGATGTGAATTCTGGTGGCATGTTCATGTGCAGGGCTCCAAACTGCAACCAAATGGATGCATTTTGCTAACTTTTTTCCTGCTGATGTGACTAAATTTTCTTTGAGGTCATCAGCCCTGAACTGCCATTTCTGATGCATATGAGAAACATCAAACAGCAAGTGAAACGGAAGCAGAACGAACCCCTTATACTTGTTATTGCGCAAGTCGGATAGATTATAGATTAGCTCGGACCAATAATAGACAATGCATTTCGAGCTCAGAACAGGTACTCGCGAGCCGATCTTTGATCACACGACGCTGTTACTACACAGCGCTGGGAGATCCAGTGTGAAAGCGTTTGAATTCGCCACAGAATTAATAACGTTGCTGCAAGATCTAGTGAGAAGCATTCAAATTTGATGCTGAATTCTTTGTTATAAAAAATATCAGATCAAACAGCGCTGAAGCGGAATCCAGGAGAAACATTTTGCCATTGATGAACAAGCTAGAAGCGTTTCCCGTCCACAAATCACCAACATTCACTATGGATTTAATGTAGTAGTGCTTACTGTAACCATGGTATTGTGGCAGAAATACATTATTAATTTCAGGGTTCGTACAGCCTTTAGAGAGTGAAAATCAAGCACGTTTTAGAACTTTCAAGTGCTTCACACAACTTTGTCCAGCAGTTCAAAGCTCAAATATTTTTTTATTTTATGTTATTTTAATGCAATGACCAAAAATGTTGTCATTTTTGTTCATGTTTGTTTATCCTACAAAGATTGTCCCCACTTGTAAAACTAAAAGTTTTAAGATGTAGGAATGTAGTATTTGTAATTATTATACATACACACACACACACACACACACACACACACACATATATATATATATATATATATATATATATATATATAAATACTGATTAAGATTACGGTTTTTGCAATGTATTGACATTTTTTTTTAATATGCACAGTACAGTATAGTATCTACGTTTTATGAACTTTATAATTGTTTGAATGTAGATGTATGCTTGTCATCATACTGTATAGTGTAATTCAAACATGTTTATTGATGTAATTAGTCATCTTAAAATGTTACCAAAGTGTGTAGCAGTCATCACATAGACTGCATGTATTTTTGTATGTCTGCTTGTCTGTATGTCACATGCATGACATAAGCGGTTATGGCAAGTGCTGAGAGAGTGTGTGTGTGAGGGGTATCATTGCCAGTGGCAGCTGGTAAAGAGACACACAGTAACTGGATAATGAGTGCTCTATTACAGCCAGGCTGAATCTGTCCACACTCATCTGTTTTATACAGCCCTGCAGCCCTGTGTGTGCATTGGTGTGTGTGTGTGTGTGTGTTTATTTTTGAATGTATACTGTATGTGTGAGCCCAGGCCTGCAGCTCCTTGTCACTTACACTTGAACAGACACGGTTTATCCAAACTGCAAAGCGGAAAAAAATGATGTGCATGATTTATTGTTGTTGTATTATTAATACTTTTTTTCACTTAAAATATAAATATATTTGATATGAGCCTTAACTTTGCCTCTTACTCCGTTTGAGTGGATGATTTTAACCACCATCATTGCCAACTGCATCGTATTGGCTCTTGAACAACACTTGCCAGATGGAGACAAAACTCCACTGTCAGAACGACTGGTAAAGTGCAACACACACACAAACACAAACAAACTAACAAACAAACACACACACACACTTAGCTATCTAAATGGGAACATTGCATAGACTTCTATTGCATTTTTACAAGATCAACTTTATTTACTTTATTTTTATTCTGGTTTTACAAGTGCATTTCAGAGAAAACACTTAATTTAGTATGATATAACCTGTTTTCCTAATGGGGGCCAAAAAAGTCCCCATAAGGTCAAAATTTACTGGTATTATTATCCTTGTGATGTAAACCATCCATTTGGTCCCCATAATGTAGAGAATAACAGGCACACACAGACACACACACACACACACATAGAAAAAGAATAGTTTAACACTGCCATATAAACATTATTTCATCTGCTCCTTTCTGTTTAAGTATACACAGGACAATTTGAGAGTCACTTGTTAATTAATACAGGCACTGTGTTTTGTTTCTCTCACAGGATGACACAGAGCCCTATTTCATTGCTATTTTCTGTTTTGAATCGGGCATTAAGATTCTTGCGCTGGGATTTGCCTTCCACAAGGGCTCCTACCTGAGAAATGGCTGGAACGTAATGGACTTTGTAGTGGTGCTCACGGGGTGAGTTAAACAAACACACTCACTACATGGTGTCTGATGTCATTGCTCTTGCATACAAACTGCTGAGACCAAATTAAGTATAATTTGAGCTGTTCGAGTCAATATAAACAATTGTCAGATGACTCTCTGGAATACTTGATTCTGTCGGTCGATGGTGGAGTTGTCAATTATTTTTGTGTAATAATTTTTATGTTTAGTGAAGGACTGAACATTGAAATTGGAGTGGCTCTTTGTGACAGATTAATTAAAAGAGTCATTTGTTCATGAGACAGACTACACTATTCATTCGAAAAACACCCCCCTCCTCTGGAACTCTCTGTGTGAAACAACACTACATACACAGCAGAGGTCTGGTTGGATGCAGGCTCCCTCATGCCTTAATGAGCACACACACACACACACACACACGGATTCTCATACACAGGACAGATCACAGCAGCACCTTAGGGAGCAACCATCAGGGCACGTCTGAAATGTCACCTCACAGGGATGGAGAGAGAGAGAGAGAGAGAGAGAGAGAGAGATGGGTGTGTTGTAGTATTGCAGTTCTAAAGAAGGGCAGGGTCATGTGACTCCATTACTCCATTCCCCTGGGCTTTGAAATATTGGAAAATTAGAGGGGGGAGAGAGAGAGAGAGAGAGAGAGATCGGTGTTGGTTGATGTGGAAAGATATATGGACTGGAGGAGGAAGAGATGAGAGGCTGACGAATCCATGATGGAGTGAAAATCCTGAAAAGCTCATTTATGCTGGTGGTTAGTGCTGGTTTGGTTGGCAAAATGCTGGTCAACTAGCATCATCATTATGGTTGACAAGTGGAGGCTTGGTGGTTAAGCTAAAGGACTAGTTCACCCAAAATGAAATCTCTGTCATCATTTACTTGTCTTTCCTTACCTTTATTGCCTAATTTCATTCATGGAACATAGACGTCTCTTTTCCATAAGTGAATGGTAACATATTTGTTCCCATTACCACTGACTTTGTATAAAACAACTACATGGACATTCCAGTAAATATATGTTTTTATACACACTATCATTCAAAAGGGGTCAGCAAGGACACATCAAGGTAACAGTAAGTGCATTTATAATGTCAAAAAAAATCTATTTCAAATAAATGCTGGTCTTTTTAACTTTTTATTCGTCAAAGCATTCTAAAAAAAAATATCACTGTTAACACAAAATTATTATGCACTACAACTGTTTTTTTACTTATCTGATCATAATAGTCTGATCCTAATACATCTTTCTGCAGCAAATCAGCAGGGGCGCAACTACCCAGTTTCAGAGGGGTATGCAGCAACAATTTTAGCCCCTCCCCCCCCCCCCAAAAAAAAAAAGAAAAATAAATGTAATGTAATAAGTGAGTAGGAAGAAATGAGAGCTAACAGAAAAAAATAAGTGCAAAATTGTCGTTTATTAACACAATTAAACTATAGCTACTCCACCTTGATGAACCCCCCTAAGAAAACTATAAGCTCCATTGGAACAGCAATACCAGTGTTTCTCACAGGATTTTAGGTAAAACTGTGGTAGGTGGACCTCTATTTCTCTAGGGGGGTTCGGGGGCATGCTCCCCCGTAAGAAAATTTTTTGTTCTGTAATGTTAAATTCAGCAGTCTGGTGCACTTTGAGAGTTCAAAATTAAAAGCTCCAACCCATATTCAGGGTGCAAATTAAACAGAGAAAAATTTGAACCTCTTAATTAGTGTCTGTCTACATTACACTACTACATAATAATAGTTATAATATTAATCCCATGATAGTAATAGCCATAAAGGCTATTGTAAAACAAATGCACAGAAAAATAAAGGAAACTTTCATAATTAGTTTTGCACTAATTTCTATACTTGAAAGATACTTGCGCATAATGACGTATTTCATGGGCCAGTGTGTCAGAAAAAAAAAACTAAAGCTGACTTTTTTTGACCAATGGATTACAGCAGCACAGCGCCGCCAATTAAGCAAAAAACAAAACAAAAACAAACAACAAACAAATGGGCTGCCGATGTATGAGTTTTGTGGGCCGTTAAAACAAATACATTTAAAAAGGATGAAATGTATTGGCTGAAAAGCACGTCGGCCCAGCGGGAATCTCCCGGTAGTCCCGATGGCCACCGAGATATAGATAGCCTACATGCCTGGATGTCACTTTTTAAATCCTACCTGTTGGCTTTCAGCACTGCATGCAGTTATTTAGCTGCTGTCGTATCAATTGGCATGCCATCTCCTTTTCTCTCTTTCTTTTTCTATTTTTAGCCCCACAGCATTTTGTTTTATCCATCTTTTTCGACGACAACTCACTACTCGTACCTACTCACTCAGCGCTCACGGCGCCCCCGCCCGCTCGCGATATTACCCGCCCCCCTTCTCCATCAGGGCGCCTAATCTAGCCTGGCTGTTAGTCCTCTACAATTTTATATAACAATGAAGGAATGCAGAAATGATTTAGAAACGCACAACGGCAGCTACATATAGAAATACAATATAGCCTATATATAATTTTTTTTTTTTTTACCATCGCTTTGGCGCCCCCCATTGTGCTGCGCCCCTATGCGCCGCATATAGCGCATACCCACTTTTTGCGCCACTGCAAATCAGCATGATTTCTGAAGGATCTTGTGACACTGAAGACTGGAGTTATGATGCAGAAAATTTACATTTGCAACTTTATAATTTAGTTTGCAGAACTAAATTATATTTAAATTATAAGTACACATTAAAATAATAAAAAAAACATTTATTTTAAATTACAATAATATTTTACAATATTACTGTTTTTGATCAAATAAATGCAGTCTTTTTGAACATAAGAGACTTCCTTCAAAAACATTTTAAAAATCAAACTTCTGAAGGGTAGTGTAAATATATTTTAAGTTTAAGGAGTCATGCAGGTTGAGAACGACATAAAGGTGAGTATATGATAATGGAATCACTTTTGAATGAACTGTCCCGGTCTTAACTCCCGCATCGTGATTGTCGAGTTGATGTCAATAGCGCGTGCTCTCTGTAGGCATATATTCATATTGATATTTTGCCACTATGTGAAAAAATCCAGCAAAATGCGCCGGCGCGTTTGTCGACCCCAGAGGATTATGACTTTAGCCTAATCATAATTTGTGATTAAAATGTACATGATCACTCTATTCACTCACATTAAGATGCCACTGCGGTGGTGCAGTCCATGCAGGAGGAGCGGTGTTTGGCACTACGTCGCTTTTCAGCGCGAGCTGTGTGCTATTCCGTTACCATCCTTACCATTGTATTAAATACAGATAAATCTACACTAACTTGAAGCTATCCTAACTGTACTATGCTACTAACTAACTAGGCTACACAAAATAATCTAAATAACTATATAAATGCTATGATAAATAGATGCTAAAATACTCTATCCTGATTGTTTTCAATACTCGTAATTACTTACAACTCTTGACTCGCAGTGGTTTTGACGAAACAAGATGTTTTTTTTATACTGCCGAGGGTGTGGTAGCTCGTACCAAGGGCGTGGTGAGCTGGAACCTGCTTACGTCAGCTCTCACCGCTTACGCCACGAACCACTGCGAACATCCAATAGGAAAATTCAACTGCAGTAGCCACCGTTCAAACTGAAGAGGGCAGCACTCAGACGTTTTTACACCATATATTGTAGAATTAAAACACTTTATACCCAAATGTCAAAAATGTTTCTCCAATCAATGATCAGCACTAATAAAGCCCCATTCTTACAGATCATTAACTAAAAAAAGTTGGTTAGGGTTTAGTTACCCTTTAAAAATATTGGTAAGATCACCAACATACCAACATCTAAAACTGTTGACCAGCAGTGCTTGTCTTTTCAGCCGAAACTAGTGAAAGTAGAAATGATGGGAAGAAGGAGAGAAAAAATCTAGAACATGGAGGATAGTGGTGGAGGGGGAAGGGAAAAGAATGAGAACGAGGGAAACGTAATGGAGCAGGGCGAGCGGGTGTGTGTGTTTTCGTTAGCTGCTGCAGTAACCTGCTTTTCACTACTGCAGATGATCAATCAACTAGCCCCGCTTTTAGACACAGCCAGATCTTCACACACACACACAAGCAGCTGTGAAACTGAACATGGCTAATCATTAACTACATCCTCAATACACACATTTTTACTCACCGTCGACTGCTGTGTGTGCATATTGGATACATTTGTAAGCATCAGCTGACATTCACAGCAGTGTGTGTGTGTGTGTGTGTGTTAGAAAGAGCTACACTTTGATGATACAATGCATTCTCCTCCATGCTGCTTCCTGTTGCTACGATTTCTATTTACAGACAGACTCGTATACCTTTACTTGCTGTAACAAACACGCACGCATACTTTCATTTTGGACTGTCATGTTGTGTCACTTTTAGAAGAAGTGATTGTGTTTTTTCTCTTTCTCTCCAAGAAAACATATTTTAAATGAGTTTTTTCTATTTATTTTATTTTATGATTGTATTTTATTAAAATCGTTTATTAATGATATGGTTTTACTTTTTATTTTATTAAAATTATATATATATATATATTTATATATATGACCCAGCAGCATATGATCAGTCTGAAAAACATTTCCATCCTGATTTTTGATGGGATGTTTACTCAGTAGTCCTGATTTGATGACGGTCAGATAATGGGCGCTAGCCATAGCAGGATTACTGCTCACTGCTTGCACAGTTGTTCAGTCCACTGCCAACATTACCAGCTGACAGAAGCTTTTTCTTGGTCTTAAAGTTTCACAGACCCATTTTTTCCTCATTCTCCAGCCATGCAAAACACACTCTTTAAATATGATTAGCTATTTCTCAACATGTGAGGACAAGTCAGTGCTCTGAAAAGGACAAAATAATGAATAGTTCATGCATGAAAGCTGATTGGTCACAAGCTGATCCTGCAATCAATAAGATGCTCGCTCAACATTTTAATAGTCTGGTTTATTTTTTTGCTGTAAGCTAGTCCTTCCTCTGAAACCCTCCACCTCCCCCAGCTCCACCT